CATCCAAGCGCACAATCGCATCAACGAATTCGGGGAACTCAGCCTATCGAACAAAGAGGCGCAAGAGGATGTGGCGAAATGGTTCGAGAAGCATCCCGGCCATGTGGCGAGAAGGAAGCAAAAAATGAAGTTTAACTCCCAACAAAGATATAGAAAAGTGATGATTTCATCACTTTTCTTGTGGGATTTTACTGATCGATTTTTTTGGGGGGGAGTGCTACGTTTGAATTTACACATCGAAACAGGGAATTTCACCAGATCCCATCTATTTGTTGATGAGCCGAATCCACCTATACATCAACTATGGTCCATGGCATGAGACCGGGGTAAATCGCCATGATCAATGAAGATGGTCCCATTGATTTCAGTAGCGTAACGTAGATTTGCAAATCCATCCGTTTCTCTGTAGCAAAACGATCTACAGGTGAATGATGATAGATGGTATACCAAACCAGCCCCTCTATTTTTAGCGAAAGGACATTACTGATCTACATTCTTGGGGGCTTTTGATGTCCATTTGAAGTGACTGGAGAGTAGAATACATTTGAGCTGAACATGAATGTTCCAAGCCGAGCTGTAGCTTCGCATCCACCCCGCCATGGAGTGAACAACGGGTACAGAGAAGATCGCCTTATCCATGGAGTCTCACTCAGTAGTTTACCTATGATTAAGGATAACATACGATAACCATGGAGCCTTTATGGGAAATCAGACGCGATTTTGTTGGGCCCATTTTGGAGGCAACACCATTCCTCGCTGTGCCGAGGAATGGAGAGGCAGGTGGTGCGGTGCAAGAATGCTTCTCATCGATCCAGAGGGAATAATGGGGACCACAATCGATCCAGAGACAGTTTGTTCATGTTTTTTTGAGCACCTTCATATAAGCCGTGTAATTTTGGGGCTAGTTAGTTAATTTTCTCGAAAATCGCAACGAACATTACCAGTGAGAATGGCGGTGCTTCTTTTTGGGAGTCCAAAATGTCCAACTAACTGAATGAAGCACCCTGCGAACAGCTGGTGGAAGTTGCAGGTGATCGTGCTCTGCAGCAACTGTTGAAAACACCAATGTAAAAACTAAAATGGGCACACACCATTTTGAACTGATGATTGGCAATGTATAATAATGCATATACCTTGTGAGTCTATCCTAATGGTTGTAACAGTGATCACAATCTAGACCAGGATATTTTGCACGAAGGAGGGGGTCAAAAAGCACAATCTAAACTAGGATTGTTTGCACGAAAACACTCAAAACAAAGCTTGCCCAACATGTAAATGAAATCCATGTGTTTAACAGCTGTAAGGTCGGATAAAATATACTTTACAGTAATATATTGCACATATCTTTTGTTGACCACATATGTGTTTGCCCATCGTTCTTGTCATTTCTTGATATATCATGCACTTTCTATATGTCCGATCGAGTTGCGGGGCCGCATCTCTAGCTGCCATGGTGCGTTTTTGTTTGTTTGTTTGTGAGGTTTGCAGGATTTGGCCGGATATCTGGTGGACAAATCCCAAAACAGCGAGCTGATCATTAACCTGGACAGTTTGTCGCGCCAACGTGTGGCCATGCAGTACCACAAGCTCAGGGCCGAGAGTGTTTCTAAACTTGATTCTGAGTTGGTGAATGATGAGAAAGTAAGAACAGGAAGCCCAGAAAGTGGATTTGACATCAGTTAGTTTTCGAGGATGGTACTCTCCATTTTTGAATTTTGGAAACTCTTTGCGGCTCCAACTGGGTGTGTATTCATATTGGTTTATATGTTTTATGGTATTCGAGTCGCTTCGCGGCACCCCTGGCCCAACTGCAGCCCAAGTTGGCGCCAGTTGGTCATGTTTGGCTGAAGTTGGGCCAAAAGCGATCCAGATGGACTCCAAATTGAAGCCATCTCATGCACATGGACACCCACGTCAGTTCTAACATGCGGCAACTTGGCACCTTTTGGCGACAGCTTCGCACCAAGTTGGGCTCACGCAGACACAACATGGGGAACTTGTGGGAACATTGCTCCAAACGAAGCGTCATCGATAGCAAAAAAACATGGAAAATGCCAGTGAAAACGGGCGTTTTGAGGATTTCGTTGGGCCGGCTACGTCCCCATTTTGAAGCCGGTAGACTTCAACTTGGGCAGAAGTTGCTCCCAAATGGGTCCAAGTTGGGGCCAAGTTGCGCCATTTTGGAGTGAAGTTGGGCCAGTTGGGCTGATGTTGGGGCCTTGCAGGCCGAAGTTGACCCCAAGTCGGGCCAATGTTGCAGCCATGTCGGTTCGAAACGGTCCATTTGGACGATTTTGGGCCGATCTACAAAATGTGCAAATTACTGCACTGGGGAACCGACTTTTAAGGGTCTGTCCCGGGCAAACATGCCCCCCCTCAGCTGAAGCTGTACCAGAGTAACAGATCTGTCCATTCGTATCACTCGCTGCTAAACCGGCGTTCCACCAATCTTTGTGAACTGCGACGTGTTTCCCCAAACGCTTCCAGCTGTAGTTAAGTTACATGCATGGAGAATGATGTTCAGGTGTGGTTGGGTCAAAATCATTCAAAACCTATGATATGAGCTTTGGGGCTTTGGGCAGATGAACGAATCTTTGCTCTTGAAAGCGTCATGTTCACCACAGGACGGGCTCCGGCTTGTTCGGTTAGTTTGGTTTGTCACTTCCCATCTCAACTAGTGGGACATATCCATGACCTAGTTCGCCTGGTCGTTTTTGGGCCACTCAGGGGGCCCACATTCACAATGGTAGTTGGATGAATTTAAAATGATCTCAACGTGACCTCACTGGAATGATCATTAATGTGTAGGGGAATCATCCCCAAATGGCCAAATTCTTGAGTTATTTTCAGGTAGTGAATTAATTAGTAGACTTCAGACAATTCAGCCAGAAAACCAGGGGTTGGATCCATCGCCATTGTGTGTGGATTTGCCCACCAAGGTTGGCATCAGCCTGTCACCATCGGAGCTTTACAACCTGTCTTGCCAGGTGCCACCACCATAGGTGGAACCAGCGCACCGTACGAGACGCGTTCGCGAATTCTACGGCGGCTCCGGACTCCGTTCACCTTCACAGAAAAATATTGGAGTGTGAATCATCATATGCCAGATTTAATCAGATTTATATAAATCAAGATTCTATATTATCCAAACCATTCAATTCGAGAATGGATCTTGACAGCCGGGAGTTGACCATTTGCACGGTCCCCTGAGGGGAAGAATAGCCATGGCCCGAGATGGTGGCACTTGTCCAAACTTCTGGATAAATGATGATGGTTAGCAATGGCGAAACTTTTCAGGCTGGTGTACTCTGATTGTTATTAAACTACTTTTGTTTGTATTATCATTGCTAGTAGTACTATTATATATAAATAGATATATATATATATAAATAGATATATATATATATAGTATTATTATCTATTATTATTAGATTTATCCAGAAACGTGGAGGAAAACCAATGACTTGAGGTGCCGGTTTTCTCTTTGGTCAGCATAAACGATGCAGCGATGCGAGGCAGTTTTGCTTCATGTTTCGAAGCCAGTTCTTGTTCTTTCATGCCAAACGACATGAGTGTATGGTATCCGCTGCTGCACGCATTGGCAAAAAAAAAGTCCTGATCCGCGTCTCGATGGGTGGAAACAGCAATCTTAGTTGTGTGCCTCTGCTTGTGGGCAATTAGATGATTTGTTGTTCACTCCAACAATAATTACCCTCTGGCACATAGCCATGGGAAAGTGCCATGTTTTTAAAATGTAAGTCATCAATACAGGCCATTTTCCACAGCCATGCCAAATTACACCAGCGTACTGTATATCAATTGGTTGGTGGATTGGGTTTGTAATTTGGCCGGGATCCCCTTATGGAAGGAATGCAGAAGATCCCGCTGTGGCCCGGCTTCATGCTGTTTCTGCAACCAGTTATATATAATCGCTATTTCAGTTGTATAATGGTTCAACCACTACTCATTACATACAACAACTACTTATCATTATATTATCACTATTCCAGTTGTATAGTGGTTCCACCAATACTCATTACATCCAACAACTACTAATCATTATATAATCCCTTTTCCAGCTTTATGATCACCTCTGCTGGTTGGTGCATTCGAATAGTTCTTCATGTTCTCCGTGTTTTGGGATGATCATGCCCAGTTTGGAACATATTTGGTGGAACGTGTTGAAACTGGAACCATTTGAATTTCATACTGGAAAATGGGGATTTCCGAAAATGGGGGTACCCCAAAACCATGGGTTTCAATGCTAAAGTAGTCTGATTTTGGATGAATGGGGGTACCCCTATTTTAGGAACCCCCCAAAATATGTATGTATATATATATATATATGTATATATATATATATACATTGTATCACAACACCAACCAACACAAATAATTCCTCACAAACAATTCCTTGAGCTGTGGGAACCATCAACAATCAACAAAATCAACAATAGCCAGGATCGAGTTGGTTCTTCAATTACTAGTCATTAGTAAGTGATAATCGTGAATCATGAAAAGCCATTTCGAACTATTAACACACATCAACAACCATCCACTAATATAAAGTGATAACCATTCAATATACTTCAAGACTGGTATGACAATTAATCACCCAATAACCATCAATAACCAATGATTGATCATCTTATGGGTAGTTCATTAAGCAGTACCTGGTGGCCCATCCCAGTTCGTAAGTGGTTTATAAGCCTAGTTAGCTGGGTGGATCAACCCGACTCATCCCACTCATACCTGGGGTCATCGCCCACTTTCTAAGCCCTATGGATCCATGCCCATTGTCTGAGAAGGTACGGCTGACCCCCTAGTCATCATACCCCAGTCGTACTTCCTTTCAGAAGGCACGGCTGGATCCATAGGGATTCATATTTCATTAAATCCCATAATCCATTCATAATCCATCAACAATCCATGAATCATCCATTAAATCCCCTTATTTCCCATTAATTATCCATGAGCCACCGAGTCTTCACATCCACCAGGAGCTCCTGTTGCTTCCGTCGCAACGGCTCTTCGTGGCCAGTTCAGTGCCTGGGCCATAGGTGATTCTACGGGATCTGCTCATTTCAGGAAGCGATTGATTGGAAGTACCCTCTGGTTTTTTAACATAGCCATGGAAAATGGCCCATTTATAGATGGTTTACCTATTAAGAATGGTGATTTTCCATGGCTATGTTAAATAACCAGATGGTACCTGCCACATATGAGGCCTAGCTATGTAGAATATGGCCTCAGATGGTACAGTACTCCTTGGGATCTTGAAATTCCTACTGAATGGTTTATAGATGGAACATACTCACTTTCCCAAGTGCTAAATGCCCCAAGAAATGGGGGTATACCACATTTTCATGTCTGTGAGTACCTGAAAAAGATCCGAGTATTTGTAGGTGATCATCGTTTCTCTTGCTCTCTCGTCAAGTCTGCCGGTTCTATCCTCATGTTTTGTCTACAGATAATATTATGTCAACCTACAGGTTTCCAACTATATGCTCAATCTATTTAGGGGTTCCTTGTTTGTGTGTAATCCTCTTCGGTGTAGTTGCTATTTATCCCCACTTATATAATTTTTAGATAATCTTAGTATCTTACTTAGTCTGTCTTTCTCCTCAAATACCTACAATGTGGGGCACCCCAGTTTTCTTGTTGTTTAGTTTCACCCCATGACTACTAGTTACAAGTACCATAAACCATACTGAAATTGAAGTTTTGTTCACCAATTTAGCGATTTCGTTTACAGGAGCCCCACCAATTGTAACTCTTTTTATCGTTAATCCCACTAGCTCCCATGAAATCACCATGGTGATGTTTGTTAAATCCAATGAAATCTCTATATGATAAAAAAAGGGGGGTTCCTAAAATGGGGGTACCCCAAATCATTCAAAATTAGACTATATTGAATTTAAAACCCATGGTTTAGGGTACCCCCATTTATGGAAACCCCATATTCTCCTGGTGGCCCCATTTTCGTGGCACTCGAAGCCAGGACTTTGACCCCTTGGGCCCCAAGACCTTGTCTGAGATGCACAAGCCGAGACTGGGCGTGGGCGTTTTTTTTCGTCGCGGTTCGGTCGACCTGGTTCGGGTGATTTAATGGATTATAGTTTCTACTTCTGATTTTGCGAATTCTAATGGGGATATATATATATATGATGTAATGATATATATGAGAAATCTCCGTTGGTGTCATCAAACCTGGCTTGCAGGAAAATCCCCGGAACTGAAGGTTGATACCTTGAAAAATCATCGAGCCCGGGGGGATTTTCCAGCATGCCGCATTGACAGGCGGGTAGTACTAAGGGCTGCCCCTCCAGTACTGTTTGTTGGTTTATAATCCCCACGAATTACAATTTACGTATGTACCATAAGCATCTATAAACTCCATAAACCATATTATATATATATATAGTTCAACTGTGGGATAGACTGTATTAACATGTCAATTCTATTTGGTAGGATATTGGAACATGGATGGATAATGATAGTAAATGGTATGTGTCCCGTATAGGATGGCATGTCCTACTTGTCGAATGGTTTTCCCTACTCAGTTTGGAGTCAAATTGCTTTAAGATATCAAATCCATATTCATGTTGACAAAGCTTTTCAGCCCGAACTTTGAGAATCACAGATTCTTTGCAAGCAGTTAATTTGAACAAATATATCTTCACAGTTGTTGCTGATATCCCCACTTTATCCATTGGTTGTTTCTTGATCTTCCGGAAGACACGTAGTAAAAAGCGGGGCCCCTGCCACGAAATCGCCAAGTTGCTGAACATAACTCCGATTTCAGCATGGGTTATGATACTATAATATATAATCTTATGTCACCTATACAACTATAGTTGGGTTCTGATACTATAATAGACATTAATATATTGTTTATGTAACTTATAAAAATACTCATGCGGTTGATATAAACAACAACGTTACGAGACGTTACGAGACTCGCACCACGTGGCAGGGCCATCCATGGCCATCGCCGAGGAATTTGGTGGTCTTCGATTTGACGAAGGATCAATGGATGGAACTTCGAGCGCAGTTTGCACGGCTGTCAGGTGAGTTGCGGCGTCGTGGTGGGAGGATCATGGGAGATACCCGGGGGATGGCCTGGAAAATCATAGCGAACTGGAAAATCACCATGCTTTATAGCTGGGTAAATCCACTATTTCTATGGCCAGGTTCAATAGCTTTTTGTATGTTTACCAGGGGGTATCATGGAATAAAGCCCTTTGGATAAGATTATCTATGGATGATTGTCTGACCCATGTTCATATTTTTAATTATCAGAATGTAACTTAAGGGGTTAGTGTTACTTTGCATCAGACCATATTATGACCATATTCACGGCTTTAATTTAATGTATCATTCAACCCTTTGTGCAGGGTTGGCCAGTTTCTTTTTGACCAGATGGACAGTCCATTTTGCACCACGTGAAATCTAATCTCAAGGGTAGTAATCAAGCATGGCTTGGTGAAAAATCGATTAAAATAACCCATTTACAGATGATGTTCCCAGCTGGAAAAGGAAAACGTGTACAGTATATGGTTCGTGAATTTTCCAGCTAGCCATGTTTGATTGTCGTTGGTTAGTTCTATCCCCACAAATCACCATATGTTCCAATCCCTATGGATCCAGCCGTGCCTTCTTAGGAAGTACGACTGGGGTATGATGAGTAGGGGGTGAGCCGTAGCCTCTCAAACAGTGGGCATGGATCCATAGGGAATGATAAAAACCATGAAATGGTATATGAATGGGATGTGACATTTCTTGGGGGGAGAAAGTATGGGATATTGACATTATGAGTATATAATGGGATATTGATATTTTAAATCCTACAACAGGTGTTCGACTGCTATGATTGATTTCAAAAGATGAATATGAACGGGATAGGAATGGATAGGATATAACTAACCAACAAGATAACTTTGATTGAACATGAACAGACAGTGTTTGGATCCAAAGGAACCATCAAATCATTGGCTCATCCCACCTAGTTGTAGGTGCATTCACCCTATTCATCTCACTGAAAAAAACTGGGGTGAACCTTTTCCTCTTACGATTCCTGGGATACTCCAGATATAACTATGATATATACATATATATATATGTGTGTGTGTGTAAATATATACATATGTATATATATATATATATGTGTGTATATATATATATGTATATATATATATATATGTATATATATATACATATATATATATATATACATATACATATATATATATACACATATATATATATATATATCATCCCATATTTAATCCCATTAATCTAACATGATGGTTTTTCACTGACCAGGGAATGACGTGCCTGTCTCTGAGCTCGAGTCAGAGGAGATGCTTCAGTCTTTGCCGCCTGGGCGTATGTAATTGACATACCGGGTGGCCCCTTCCTGCTGGATAGCCACAGACACACATATTTAGTTTGGTGTTTATAATGAAGGTATGTACTTATATAATAGTTTGTATATATATATATTCATAACTATATATATATACATAACTCTATATATCTATATACACATAACTATTTATATGTATACATAACTATATTTATATATAGTTATATATATATATAACTATATACATATGTATTAACTGTATATATAACTGTATGTATATCTATATATATATATATGTATATATAATTTTGTATATCTATACGTAATTACATATGTACATTGATTTTTATTAGAATTCATGTCAAGTTAGGATTATTGATCCACCAGGGATTGATCAACCTCTGACAGAGATTCCCCCATAAGGTTCTGTTGGCTCAACATAAACTACAATCATACGAGTGGAGTAATTAATTGCTTTGTTGCATTGGCACCAGTCTTTTTGTGGCTTTGCAGTCACAGGCTTCTGACTTTGCAATCACAGGCTCAGTCTGGCAGTCTTGGTGCAAACCAAATTCTTGGCTAAATTTCAAACAAAAAACTGATTCACAAATGATCAATTTCTTTATTAAAATCCATTTAAAAACCATCACTTTGAGAAGCTTCCAAAGGGTACCCCTCATCAGCCCAAATTATAGACAGGGCTTCAACTAATTATATAATCAACCCCCTTGGCCCCTTTAGATGTCTGTGAGGTTTAAACGGAAAATCAATTGAAAGTACATTGATATCAATTGAGATCCTTTCTAATCTTTAGAATTCTTTTAGGTTTGAACGGAAAATCAATTGAAAGTACATCGATATCAATTGAAATCCTTTCTAGTCTTTAGTTTTTTTTGCTTTAAGCGGAAAATAAATTAAAAGTAGGTTGGTCTTAGTTGGAAGTTGATCTCTTTTGACTTCAACTTAGGAGGTCGATTATTTAGAGTAAAAACCTTAGCAGAACCTTCTCCCGAGTTACCTACCTTCTGGGGGGGGAGGTTTCTTAATCCGGACTTGCCATTATATGTCAACACTTTGGTGTTCTCTTCAATGTGTTTGTATCAGATAAACATTACATGAATTTACCATATGATACCCTCCGGCAATCAAACGTGGGAATAGAAAATCCACTATGAATGAAGGTGGGAAGAGGAAATTTGGAGGAAAGGGGGATTTTCCGTGGGAGGCCATCTTTGATTACCAGACTACTCGACATTAGAAATCAGAAGAAGATCAACAAACCACCAAGATTAGAAACACTATCAACCTCGGATTAAGAACCCCCCCGGGTTGACTAGGGGAAGTAGAAGATGAACAATTCTTGGGGATACCCCTCGTAAATACGGGGGTGGCGGTGCCCTTGTTGCATCTTGTTGATTGGTGAGCTACGCTTTAGAATGTTTTAGAGGGTTTGTTTCAACTCATAGTAGGAAGGCTCAAAGTACCAAATGAACCACCGTAATGAGATTGGATAGAAGGGTATGTTTTCATGGCTTAATTGAAGAACTGAAACCAGAAATGACTAAACAGATCCAACGAGAGAATCAGTGGAAGATGTTCATGTCAATGTTTCAGGTGTGCAAGAGGTCAAAACAGCCAAAAACTGGTAGCTGCAACTTTAGGTCATTTCAAGACTCCCCCAGAGACCGTGGTGAGATTCAGAATATTCGGAAGGGTCCCACATGGGATGCCTTTACGAGGAGAAAGGGATTCTCCCATCTTAGGCAAGCATCGATCACAGACGAGAAGCCGGCACCTGCGGAGAATGCAGAGAGCCCCTGAGTTCCAAGCGCTGCCCCGGCCCATGGAAATGGGAGGTAATTAACATGATTAGATGTGGAAGATTTCTTTGTTTTTTCAAGGCCTAAGTGGGAATCCCCCGAAATATATCAACATTCATGGCCTAACATAGAAATGTTTGTTGAACAGATCAGTGAGGTCACGCCTATCACGTGGTCAGATCATTTGCGCTATGGCCGGCATCTCTTGTAGTTATCAATTTTACCTTGTCAATGATGGGTGGGTGGGCTTCAAGAAGTGTTCTATTTTCACCGCGAATTTCAATTTCTTTTCCTGACATGAAAATAGAGCACCCCAAACTTGATAGTCTGTATGATCATATCATCTTTCCCATGAAAACGAACATTTTGGCTACAAATCCCATTCTTAGACAGAGACACATGTTTGATGGGCTTCAACCTTCCACCCTCCTTAACTGCACACCATAGAACCATGATTGGGCTTCCTTGGCGCCCCGGCATAGCCATAGCCAGAGCGGAGTGGGGACGCAGCAATGGTGATGCCTGTCGCATACGACTCTCTCTATTGCCTTTTTTGGAGTTTAAAGATGAGGGGACAAGTACGGTAAGGAAAATTATGGTAAAACATCGAATTTGGGGCTATCCTCTTTTCAGGCAACCCCAAATGTGTATTGCTAACATTGGAACAAGCAACTACGAGGCGAACTTACTGCATACCATGTTTTAGCGGGTCCTTACTTCTGGCAAAATCCGTTGCATTGTCAGCGATTGTTTAGAACGATGGCTGCTCAGCTAAAATTGCTGAATTCGGGTAGAAAGGAGCTTGGCGCCCTCGCAGCGTCGCATGCTGATTTTCCAACAGGCATGGATGCTGCTCCCGTTGCACAGACCCATGTCCAGAGGCAATCTTCCATTCTGCTCCAATTCGTGTGTCATGTTCTGCAGGGGATTCAGGTTGTTGGGATGAAAGATGGTTTTCTGTCATATACCTGTGGCATCAAAATAGCCTCCGGGGTAATCAAAGATGGCTTGCTGGAAAATCCCTTATAGATAGATTTTCCCATTGCAGTAATAAGATGATGTTTGGAAAGACATGGACACATGAAACATGCTGCCATTTGTTGCCATTGAGCAGTACACACCATAGGAATTGATTGGTACTTGAGGTTGCAGTCTGAGAGGGAGCCTTCCAGGCACTGTCAACCGATACCTACCCTCTGGGTCAAACCTGGCTGGGAAATCCCCATTTATACTGATTTTCCCATGAAAACGATTTCAAGCGCCTATTTATATATAGGGGATTCCCCAACCAGCCACGTCTGATCGCATTGTTTAGTCTTTGTTCTGGACCGAGACCAGAAAAGTGGAGGCCTGGCATAGCGTGGCAGACGATACCTCAGGACATGGGCACATTTTCGCAGCACTGTGCCAAACCAAATCTCGCCTCGGGATCTAAAAGCTGCGCAGTTAGCGGGGCTGGCAGATATGGTGTGTTCAGACACCAGATTTTTTTCAGAATTGAAATTCTGAGTTTGCCTTGTTGGATCTTGTTGGCACCTAAGTCTCGCACGAAAGCTTCGTTTTCACATCTTCAGCATTCAGATTTTGAGGGAAGTCTCGCACGAAAGCTTCGTTTTCACATCTTCAGCATTCAGATTTTGAGGGAAGTCTCGCACGAAAGCTTTGTTTCCACATCTTCCACTTTCACTTTTGGAAGGAAGTCTCGCACGAAAGCTGCGTTTTCACATCTTCAACTTTAAAATTTCAGGGAAGTCTCGCACTAAAGCTTCGTTTCCACATCTTCCACTTTCACTTTTTGCGCGATGTCTCGCACGAAAGCTTCGGTTTCACATCTTCCACCTTGAGATTTTGAAGGAAGTCTCGCACGAAAGCTTCGTTTTCACATCTTCAACTGTCGGATTTTGAAGAAATTCTCGCACGAAAGCTTCGTTTTCACATCTTCAACTCTCGGATTTTGAAGGAAGTCTCGCACGAAAGCTTCGGTTTCCACCTTCAGATTTTGAAGGAAGTCTCGCACAAAACGCACGAAAGCTGCGGTTTCACATCTTCCACTTTCAGATTTTGATGGAATTCTCGCACGAAAGCTGCGTTATCACATCTTGAACTGTTGGAATTTGAAGGAAGTCTCGCATGAGAGCTTCGCTTTCACATCTTCCACCTTCAGATTTCGAGGGAAGTCTCGCACGAAAGCTTCGCTTTCTCACACCTTCAACTGTCCGATTTTGAGGGACGTCTCGCACGAAAGCTTCGGTTTCACATCTTCCACTTCAGATTTTGAAGGAAGTCTCGCACAAAACGCACGAAAGCTTCGGTTTCACATCTTCCACTTTCAGATTTTGAGGGAATTCTCGCACGAAAGCTGCGTTATCACATCTTGAACTGTTGGAATTTGAAGGAAGTCTCGCATGAGAGCTTCGCTTTCACATCTTCCACCTTCAGATTTCGAGGGAAGTCTCGCACGAAAGCTTCGCTTTCTCACACCTTCAACTGTCCGATTTTGAGGGACGTCTCGCACGAAAGCTTCGGTTTCACATCTTCCACTTCAGATTTTGAAGGAAGTCTCGCACAAAACGCACGAAAGCTTCGGTTTCACATCTTCCACTTTCAGATTTTGAGGGAATTCTCGCACGAAAGCTGCGTTATCACATCTTGAACTGTTGGAATTTGAAGGAAGTCTCGCATGAGAGCTTCGCTTTCACATCTTCCACCTTCAGATTTCGAGGGAAGTCTCGCACGAAAGCTTCGCTTTCTCACACCTTCAACTGTCCGATTTTGAGGGACGTCTCGCACGAAAGCTTCGGTTTCACATCTTCCACTTCAGATTTTGAAGGAAGTCTCGCACAAAACGCACGAAAGCTTCGGTTTCACATCTTCCACTTTCAGATTTTGAGGGAATTCTCGCACGAAAGCTGCGTTTTCACACCTTGAACTGTTGGAATTTGAAGGGAGTCTCGCATGAGAGCTTCGCTTTTACATCTTCCACCTTCAGATTTCGAAGGAAGTCTCGCACGAAAGCTTCGCTTTCTCACATCTTCAACTGTCGGATTTTGAGGGAAGTCTCGCACGAAATGCATGTTTGAGAGATAGCGCGCCTGCACGAAGTGTTGTGTTTTGCAGGACAAAACGTGTCTAGCTCGTCCGGCGGACGGTTTCGAAACACATTCGGTTAGGGTCGAATCATGGTCGGATCGGCCCCGCAGTGGAACTGCCAGTTCAGGCGTTGTTTTGCCAACGTTCTTGCACGTAGTTTTCTTGTGTTTTGCAATTCAGTCTCCAGATCATATTGTAATGGCTGCGTCAAGGTTGCTTGGCGCCGCGGCTGCGTGCGTAATGCTATTGCCTTTTGCAGCTGGACATCGTAAATTGTGATTTATCGGCAGATTTTTTCAGTTTAAAAGCTTGCTGTGTGGAAAAGCTTCTGTGTGTAAAGGCTTCTGTGTGTAAAAGCTCCTCTGTGTAAATGCTTCTCTGTGTTAGGGCTTCTCTGCGTGCTTAAAGCTTTTCTGTGTAAAAGCTGGCTGTGTGTGAAAGTTTGCTGTGTGTAAAAGCTTCTTTGTGTAAAGCTTGCGTGTGTGTGTGTAAAAGCTTCTGTGTGTGTGTAAATGCTTCTCTGTGTAGTAGCTTCTTTGTGTCAAAGCTTGCTGTGTGTAGAAGCTTCTCTGTGTAAAGGTTTCTCTGTGTAAAAGCTTCTGTGTGTAAACGATTTTCTGGGTAAAAGCTCTTGCTCTGTGCAAGAGCTTGCTTTGTGTAAAAGCGTGCTGTGAATAAAAGTTTTCCTAACTCTGTGTAAAAGCTTCTGCGTATTCAATAGCTTCTCTGTGCAAAAGTTTGCTGTGTGTAAAAGCTTCTCTGTGCCAAATCTTCTCTATGGAAAGCGTAGGGGTTGCTTGCTTTGACACCGAGATCCGTTTTGTGAGCAGGTTTTGGGCTAGAGAAAAGGTGAGATGATTTGAGAGTGCACTGAGAATAGCTGGGATGAGGTGAGACGAGCTGACAAGAGCTGAGATCAGCTGAGTAGATTTGAGAAGAGCCCAGAAGATGTGAGAAGAGGAGGGACGAGATGAGAACACATAAGATGAGCTTACATGAGCTGCGGAGAGCTGAGAAGAGTTGAGAAGAGCTGTGAAAATCTGAAAAGCTGAGATAAGCTGAGGTGAGATGAGAAGAGATGAGAAAAGCTCAGGTGACATGAGAAGAGATGAGAACAGTTGTGATCAGCTGAGAAAAGCTGAGCAAGGGAGAGACGACATCAGATGGGATGGGATGAGATGAGATGAGGTGAAAAACTCAGAAGACATGAGATGAGTTGAGATGAGATGGGATGACACAGACTGCGGTGACAGTGGGATGCAGTGAGCAATTTCAAAGAGAAGCTGCGATGCGATGAGATTAGATGAAATGAGCAAAGGTTCAATATTCAAAAGACATGGCATCGGCATCAGATTGAAAAATCAAGAGTTTGTTGCTGCGAAGCGCAGGAGGCTTGCCCGTCACCTATAGGCACAGCCTTTGCTCCGCTCTATGGGTTATAAGCGTTTCAAATTTGAAACTTCCGCCCCCGGCTTGCCCGGGTACTACTTGTAACAACGTATAACCCACGTTATCACTTGACGACTGCAACCCTACGTACCCAACATACCTTGGGTTCTAACCCACTTTCGATTCCTAGGAAAATGGGACGCCAAATGACGCCAAGTATACTGCTGCCGAGATCAAGCCACCATATTTCAGGGTCAACCGTTTTATTTTTTTACTGTCAAGGTAGACTGTACTAACCAGCTGAAAATTATAATTTTTGACAGGTATCGAAGATTCACCATGATTTGTTGTTTTTTTCATTGTTAAATCACCCATTTTTAGAGAGTTCTTAAATCAAAGTAGCACCCAAGAACCGAGGTCTGGGCTACAGATGTGGCAATGAAAGGTGCAACTTGAGATCACACTTGGTGGATTAACCCTACTTTTCCCACTGAAAAACTAGGGATATAACATGATATAACCTACTTAGAATTCGTAGGATGAGCCACCAAGTATAAATGGGTGGTTTTAATGGATAATCATGAAAAATCATTTTTTCTATGTTTGGTGATGGATAAGCCACACATCGACAAAGTATTGTAGTGAAAGAGGAGATGGGGGGAATGATAAGACTAACTAGAACCGGACACCATTTCAGTGTCATCAAACATTAACATGGCTGGAAACCCTTTGTAAATGGAGTGCAGGAGGTGCCTTTTTTTAACATAAACGGACGATTCTCCAGTCAGCCATATTTGATGACCAGAGGATACTTTCTAAATTTGTCTAAACCAAATAAGGGGAAACTATGGGTACCACTCTGAAATCCACTCTGGATCACTATATTTACATCAAGGGTGATTTGATGATCATGTGCGCTCGGTATGATTTGCAATGGGACAAGGAGGCACGTATGAGTCAAATTATGCACCAACGGAATTGTGTTGGCAAGACAAACTATATACATCTGAACATCTACATAACCATACCATGGACACGCATGCATCCACAGTTACCACATTTCAGCGCATTCATACGGATACGTGGCCTTTGGTATGTACAGGTACCTTTCCTGCAAAAAAAATCCAGTTGTTCGCTTCGCACTCTTCGCCTGCTGGTCACCGTGGCATCGTCAGGTACTTGTCACATCACCGATTGCATCACTACGTGCACTGCCCCAGCAGTTTTTTGGCAATGTGGAGTCCCAGTGAACGATGAGACAATCTCTACATGTTGTGGGTGATTTCCGGTGATTTCCGGCGATTTCAATCGGCCTGAAATAATCTTGAAAGTTGTGGATTGTGGGCAACTGTTTTATCCCTTGAATCCAGTTTGGGAATTCTTATAGATTATCCAGATGTAGGAGGATTGGTGCATGTTTTGAAAAAATTAGAATAGAACAAGAGAAACTGCTCTTTTGAACGAATCGTGATGGAGTTATAATCCCTTCGCATACCACTTTAGGCATCGACACTACATGTGGGAATTCCAAAGAAAACCAGAGAAAATGGCATCGCATCGCATATGATAAGTTATCGATACATGGTCAATGGTGACTGTTTACCCCTCAGTTCGATGGATGGTAATCATTTCAGCTGGTGATTAGGATGATGGGTTCTATCACATCATTTCTAAGCAAGGGATGGAACAAATAACCAAGTATGTTTTTATGTTGAACATCCAAATTTTGAGGGAAAAAAACATGACTTCACCAAGTTTTCACAGAGTTGTCCCATGGTTAACCCGTCTTGAATCTTGATCTTGTCTTCCCAAGGTCGTCGTTGAGGCAGTCCCGGGGGCGGATGGTGAACTTCGCTTGGTACCTTTGGATCAGGCGCCGCGCGGTATCCCGGGCTCAGGGGATGGTGAGATGTGGATTAAACGTGATTGCCCGCTGGTAAACATACAAAAAAATATTGAACATGGCCATAGAAACAGTTAATGTAGCCAGCTATAAAAACTTATAAAATGGTGATAGTTAATTACCATAGTTGTTTGTATGTTTACCAGAGGGTAAACCAGTATTTATAGGGTCTGTAACCATCAACAAAATGGTGATAAGATTGATAAGATTGATGATATTGGTTGAATTTACGATGTGGGAACCCAATAATTGTATACCATCCATTTCTGGTGATGTGCGGGATGGTTTATTGCTGGGTTTCCCACATGAAGCATCAACAATATGGGGATTACATTGATATCCTGATATCCATCCATGACTATACATTATATAGATATAGTTATATATTCGTGATATATACATTGATATATACATTAATACATATTATATATATATACATTAATATGGTGTCATGATTAGTTCATGATGATTATAAGGGAATTTTCACTACCCAATAGACCATAGATTGGGGATGATCATGCTGGTAATAATACTTATCAACCAACTTATTTCCATCTTTCGTCATACCTGGAGCCATGATTCCATTTGTTGAGTCTTATATGCACAATCTGTGTAAATGTATTACCCTCGTGGTAAATTAACATCGACCCCGAAAATAGCAATTGTTTCGTTGAAACTAATCTTCAAAGTCAAAGCCCATCTGCCAGGGTCTATGTTAATTTACTGGAGGGTATATGTGCTTTTGATGGGAATAGGAACCACCAACGAGAGAAGACTTTAGCGACTTTACCTCTTTTGATTCTTACATCAGAATGGATCAGAAGTGTGAGATTCAATCAACCACCATGTGGGGTGTAAAATGTTACATGCAACTATAATACTATAGTACTTATGATTGGGGAGGTGTCAAAACCTCTGACTTTCCAGGAATCCATGTCACGAATTACGCGGGATGAGCATCCAGATCCTCATGATCGAAGAATTTTGACCAGATGAGACCTTTTTCAGCACAAGAAGGAGACCTGATGTTGGTTTATGATACCCCCTTCTTTATAACCTAGTTGGATAGAATCGCCATAAATCCATGTTTTAACCTAGTCATAAATCATCAGAACCTATCAAACTTGGGTTCCCTTGTGGCGAACCCAGGAGCCGTCGGCATACGCTTTGACTGCGTGGCTGTCCTTCAGACTTTCTGCCCGAATCTAAGGGCACCAGGAGAAAAGGTTTGACCAAATGGTTCCACCCGTTTCAATCCACTTTATTTGTTGTTTCTCTTGGGAGCGGTCTCATGTTTGGAAACACCAAACTGATCAAAACTTGGTGTTTCAAACATCAAATTGTTGAAAATTGTGGGTCAATGGTTGATCAGGACTGCGGAATGTGAATATTTGATTCTTGCAGCTGGCCAATTTGATCAAAGCTGCTCATGCAATGGATGCAGTTATTATATATACTCATAATTGATGAGGTCTGTAGGTGTTGGTATAGATATCCCGGATATCCCATTTGGGGAGACGATACGGTTTGCAGGTGCTTCCACCAAGCCGAGACACTCTAAGGAAAAGCATACAAAAGGAAACCATCTCAAGACAACATGAGCAGTACTCAAAACCCCTTGGTTCACAAGCATATGGGGGTTTTGCATACAGTTTCACCAACAAAAACATCTATTTATTTCCAAGTTCCAAGAGGGAATATCACCATGAACTGGGAAATCCTATGAACCACCTATGAAATGCCACTGATGTGTGACCGCTGAGGCGGCCTCTGGATTCCACCTCAGCAGCGAAGAACTCGTGAGACCGTGGGTCGCAAAAAGAGATTCGTGGGTCGCAGAGAAGGGGTTTCGCCGTTCGGGAATCTGGGAATCTGTTAGATGATTTGATCATATATGATAGAGATGGATAGTATATAGATAAATGATATAATGATATATATATATAGAGAGAGAGAGATTGGAGATATATATATATACATATAATGAAATATGATGGGAAATCCCCGAACTCAATGGAGGCTTATAGCTGAGAAAAGCATTGAACTGCACGGGGGATATTCCATTTAGCCCCTCAGCTTGCAACATGTTCGGTTGCCCAAGGAGATTTGGTACTGGAACCCCAAGCTGACTTGGGATACGTTGGAAGTAGACTTCTCAAATCGAATGCAAGCGTCCGATGGGTTCAGTGGACATGACATCGCCGGAGGCCAAGGCCCCGCCATCAAGATGGACAGCCGAAGCAGCTTTCATCGGCAACGAGAAATCTGCCAAAGTTACTCAAAAAAATCAAAAATCAAACCCTGTCAACCGAGACTTGACATAATTTTCAGATCATATGCCCAGATATTCCGTAAGTTTTCTGAAGTTTCCACAGCCAGCCCCAGCACCCCCGATGAGATCCGCGGCGCAGCTCCATGGCTGACACGGATGGATGACGCGGACGGCCTCAGCAACTAGCTACGAATTGAGTTTCCCAACCATCTATAGAATGTTGAGGCAGAAGAATCAGGAAAATATGATCATTTTACCATCATTTTACCACATATCCATGATGTGTTAGTGATTTAGTGGAAGTTTGAGGTTCCATCCAGAATCCAGAAGCAAGATGAGACGGAAGAAGAATATGGCCATGGGTCAAAACCATCCCCATACTTTCGTACGTCAGACTGAACCAATACCCTCTGGTAAACTAACATAACTATGGAAAATCACCATTTTTAATGGGTAAATCCACTATTTCAATGGGCCATGTTCAATAGCCTCGAGAAATGGCCAGTCAAGAACCACCATCAGCAAACCCTCCAGTTGACCAACAGTTCCTGTTGCCAGTTAGGTTTTCGCCCGAAATGCATTTTACCGCGATGTGGGATTGTGTGTTTCATTTTGTTTCATTCCCGTTGCATGTTACCAACATGATCAGATTTACCAGTTCCCTTGAGTACTCCCATGGTATCTTATCCGTCCCAGTTTGTCTAGTCATCAGTCCCTCTTTGATGACCGGCAAAGGCAGCTGGGGTCTTCAGAGTTCCAGCGGCTTCAATTCCTGGGCGTTGACGAGTTGTTCCTCGGATGAAACGTTGATGACTTTCGATAGATTCAAAGCACAAGATGTCTTTTGAAGAAACATCAACTACTACTAGGTAGGGCGAACATGGGGGAACTAGATAGCACAAAGTTGATGCACATAACTTCGTTCACGTTTGGGTTTATGGATGATACAACGAACTGGTTGGTGGGGGTTATAAACCAACTTATTACTAGGGGGCCCACCTTGTAGTTCCACCAGATGTCCGTGCTGATGCGGAGTTGTTCCACAGTTTATGATGGGACATTTGTTGATCGGAATCTTGAGGTACCCTAAATTCAGGCCGAAAATGAATCCACCATGGTCCACCCAATATATGCAACGGCCCTCTCTTCGTCTCATGGTGTCTGAAAGTTGTGGCTGGTGATGCCCAATCTTCATAGTCTACGTGCAGTCCCTCAGGTGGTCATAAACGATGATTTCCTCAAATAGGGGATCCCCAAAACCATGGATTTCAAGAGGTTTCAATACTAAAACAGTCTAATGACTTGGATGATTTGGGGGTGCCCCATCTTAGGAAACCTCCATGGCTCAATACCTCAAGGCAGGTCCTCCACTCCTGCCCTCAGCCCAGGGCGCAGCATCGGAACGTCAGCCAACGTCTTGGAGAGAACCGTCAGGAGAGCGGGGTAGATGTACAGCATGGACCGTGGTGCACCCCGGAGAAACCACCATGTCACCACGACCTGCTTGGTTTGAAGTCACAAGCATGACGGTTTCATGGCTATGGAAGGGGATATAGCCCCCAAATATTACATATATATAATATACATACGTGGCTTTATAGTATGCTTTATATGGTACAGTACCTCGTATGAAAAGGATCCTGGAATTCGCATTGATGGAGGTTTCATGGCCAACAAACATGGTGAATTAAACCGCCATGCGGATAGATCTTCATTGACCGATATGCAACTGGTTGCTTCTTTCAATCCTGCTTATTTCCCATCCCGCCCAAACATCGACATACGTTCACGAATGTTGATCACGATTGAGGAGACACACCCACACATCATCTTGAACTCTTAAATCATAGTTTAGCTCGTTAATCCCAAATGTTGCTTATATCCCATTTGTTTCAATAATATCCCAGACAACCATGGCTATCCGATCAATATCTAATTTTGATGAACATCCATTTGCTTAGTTATATCTATACTATAGCTTATATGCCAATAAATCCCATTAAATCACAATATCCCATCATATCCCATAAATCTCCCGATATCAAAGGTGCTGAACTCCCGGATCTGTCATGGCTTTTTTTTTTCAGGAGCCTGGGAGGCCGCGAATACTTTGCGCATCGCAATGAGGTGATTCTGCGTTGCGGCGAGCTGGCCAGTGGGGTGCATTTCATTTTGGATCCTTGGAATTCTTGGGAGCAGCGAATGGAAGGAATCACTTTTTATCACCATCTAAAATAGAGGAGGTCAAATGTGGCAATGCTTTGTTTTGGAGAGGGTTGAATGAATGGTTGAATGTTGAAGTGGTCATTTGTCATATTGGAACCTGCAGAGTGAGAAAGCGGTGGATCATGATAAAGATCCAGTGGAAGAAGGAGCTAGTATGAGCCAATAATAGTGTGGCATGCATCAACATTTTTTCTCCAACAAACAAATGATGCAAAAAATGAGATTGTTTGGATGGCGCTCAAGTTCTGCTTTCCAAAAAGGGTCACCTATGATTTCCCAACAATTTACCCTGCCCTATTCCCATTTAGAAATTGGAATCATGTGAAGTCTATATTAAATTCTCCGAACATCCCAACATGTTGATGGAACTGATTCAATTTTTTATGGAAGTTCCCATTTCAAGATCACCCAATTTTTTTCGGGTCTCCAGCATTTTTTGAACAACGTCAGGATGGGACGCTTCAAGTCTTGGCCTTGGGCGAAGTGGAGAAGCGACGAGGGGAGCATTGGGCCATGGTGAAGGTTGGAGAGCTGCAGGAGGGGGAGATGCTGGCGCTGCCATGGTTGGAGCGTCTTGGGCGAAGTAATCGCAAGGACCGATTGATTGGAGGTACCTACCAAAAAAAAGTCCTATGTGAGGTCCGTTTTCGGGTCCTGAAATTTCCATTGATTCGGTGAAGATGGTGGAGTCGGATGGTGTTTTTCCTCCTCGGTTGATGGTTGGGGTGGGTTTGGTCTGAAGCTGTTGTTTTTTGTATCTTGAACTTATTTGATTGTGGAGTTTCAGGTTTTGTTGGTGAACAAAATTGGTATTTTCGGGTAGTACAGTATACACCCCAGTTTTTGGACTAAACTAGTGGTTGGGAGATGTTGGGAGGGGGCTGCTCCTGGAGATTTCCATGGGGGGTACCCCAAATCATCCATTTAAAAATCGATTTTCACCTATAAACTTTAAATTTCACCATCCATTTTTGGGTACCCCCATTCTAGGGAAACTCCATGAAACCCCCCCATTTTTCGATCCATATCATCCCCATCGTTCAAGGAAGAGACCCTCGCGCTTCTCCTTCCGAGTTCAGTCCAAGAGTCTGACCGCGATCATGCTCACAGGTGCCGAGATGACGGCGACGCTCGGCACGGATTTGGGGGTGGCTAGGATGATTCGAGATTTCGAGAGAAATGTTCTCCAGATACTTCCTGAGAAGGTACTTGGATATCTTGGATCCGTCAGGAAGTCAAGATGGTAAATGTAAATAATCGATAGTAAAGGTGGTTTCTTTGGGATGAATCATTGCGAGTGCCAAATGTAGATGGCAACTGTGGTTAGAAATTCGCCCATCCCCAATCCAACCAACCACTTGGAATATTTGGAGGAACATCCCAGCAACCAGTGCTCGTAACCCTGGGTAAATGAGTTCCTTAAATGGGTTTCTCCCGTTGACAACTCGATTATGATCCCAGTTGAGAAACAACTAATGATTTCCTATATATATATATATATATTGAGTCCGTCCTGATAGCTGTAACAGTCAAAAAAGGATTTCTTATATTTTAGGCGAACGTTGTTTTGAGTGTTTTCCTTCGTGCACAAAATCGTGCTTTTCGGTGCTGTCCCTCGTGCAAAAAAATCTGCTCTAGATCGTGCTTTTTGGTGCTCTCCCTCGTGCTCTAAATCGTGCTTTTTGGTGCTCTCCTTCGTGCCACAAATCGTGCTTTTTGGTGCTTTCCCTCGTGCCAAAAATCGTGCTCTAGATCGTGCTTTTTGGTGCTCTCCTTCGTGCCAAAAATCGTGCTCTAGATCGTGCTCGCTGTTACAGCTATTAGGCTAGTGTCAGCGTATATATATATATACATATATATATATATAACTATATATATATACATATATATATATATACATATATATATACATATATATATATACATATATGTATACATATATACATATATATATATACATATATATATACATATATATATATATACATACATATATATATATATATATTATGTGTTTATATATATATATACTTATACATTACTTATACGAAGTAATCCTGTGACATTATATCCCCATTGGCTGATCAAGGAAGACCGAGAGCTATTTCAGTCAGCGCTCGCACGAAGAACGCCGTCGAGACCCTTGGAAGATAGCAGGATCAATGGGAAAATTCCAGCTGAACATCTGGATGGGGAGATAGAACTAGGTTGAGTGTTGGGTTTCTGGAGAATATAACATGCTATAGCTATAATATATAACTATATGATTAGTATCAACATCCAACTCATCAATTTTTGATTAGTTGGATGTTGGGGATTATATGCTGGTTGTTTGTTTCAAACATGTTTTATTGTCCATTTCATATATGGGATGTCATCCTTCCCATTGACGAAGTCATATGTTTCATATTCTTCAGAGGGGTAGGTCAACCACCAACCAGTATGGTTTTGGGTAAGGGCGGAATCATGGCCAAATAAGGCTGCATCCAGTGATTCAACATAGCAACATAGCTATGGAAAATCGCCATTAAAGTAATATATATATATATTATTGCCACATATAGGCTTTTAATATAGATAATTATAGGTAGGCAAAAAAAACCATAATCATACACAAATAGGCAATTGTCTATAGCTATGATAAATTACCAGATGGTAATATACTTGTATGTACATGGACCCTCAAGCGTAGCACAAATTATTGTATCAATTTTGTGGTCTGCATGTTCCGCTACAATTGTATCACTTTTCAGCCCAAAGGGCCAAATGAGTAGACTGGTGCAAAACGAATATGAAATCATACTCCATCATGTTTCAGTTGGGGCCAGGGCCAGTGTGGCTCTTGGATATGTGAGTTCGAAAAACATTGTACGTTGGACGAATCTAGGTCTAGGCATTTGGTTTCATGACTTGGGTGCTACCCACAGAAAAGGAAGGAACTGACATGAAAAATCAACTGACAGTAATAATCACTGTAGCACGCATGCAAAGTGCTAGGTGTACCTCCGCAATGTGGTTGTCAGCCAACATGTTGATCATAATAATGCAATCCGCTAGCTACTGTGGTACTTTAGTTTGTAAATGGCTACAGTAAAAGGACAACGTACAACAAGCGCGTGCAGTTTTTCACCAATCTGGAATAACGAGCAACAACTTGACCTTGAGGACTAATTCTTGCCTCTTTGAGGGGCCAGGTATATGATGTAGATACAGGATGTAAAGGAATATGTATATATGGTACTATACATATATATATATACATAATATGTAGAGAGAGAGAGAGAGGGGAAGAAAAAATATTATGTATACTGCGTATATGTATATTATATATATATATGATCACCACCTCTTTAAGGCTACTTTTCAGGGGGGACCATACCAAAATGTAAGACACATTTTTGGGGACCCCCCCTAAAACGTAAATTTGGTCGCCGAACGTCCCCCAGGTGTTGTTTTTGTGGGGAGGGTCTTCAAAAATACCTTGAAAAATGTAGCTTACATTTTTGGGTACGTCCCCCCCCCTTAAAAAGGGTGGTGATTATATATGTGATTTGGCCATGATATGCGACATTCCAGCAGAAATGGGGGTATTTTATCGGGTGTAGTGGAAGCAAAATGGGCCAGAGATCCTGACATGTATGTTTTTGACTAGTTTGACTCCTGCTTTCATATTTGTCTACTATCCTTTGAGCAGGATTGTGGGGCCTCTAAGTTTAAAAAACATCAAATTTATGTGTATCTGCTATACTTCCTGCAATGTTCCGTTTTGTTCATATGGTTTCAGAGTCCGAGACCAATTGTCATTCTTACCTTTGCATTGCCAATGCACTATACATGACTAATTATGACTATATACTTGTCGTTGGTTTCATGTCCGTTTCAACTCCTTGCGAGACCGTTGATCGTTTGACTATCGGGAAAAGAAACAACAAACTAGCCACACTCAAGTACTCACAGCGCCAGCGGTCAACTCCGGGTAGTGATGACTCTTTGTATTTGTTTGGATTTGTTTGGTAAAACAACCAAAACACCTTGGATCTCGTGAAAAGCCATCGTCTTCAACATGGAGATTTGTTTCAGTATTTCATCCACACCAAACATTGGATTTTCATCCTGGGTACCTCTGCACACATGCCGCGCAGATACTGTTTGACAGGTACCTTGTTTCATTCTGGGTCTTGGGTACTCGCACACATTCTGGGTACCAACCAGCTTGGGAAGAGCCCAGTCATAACTTATACCCTCTGTTAACGCCATGGAAAGTTACCCACATGTGCATGATTTGCTTGTGATTTCCATGGCCATTTTTGCGGGATGTCATTGGCCCCATCGAAAGCCAAGGAAGAAGCCTGGGAAAGCAGCGCCCTGCAGCAGTTTGAGGAGCGACAAAGGGAGCAGCAAGAGCTGGAGGAGCAGTGACTGGGACGAGGGGAATCCTGGGCAGATGCCTGGACGATCCACGGATCACTGGTGAATTTCACCATATTTCACCATAATTTCTAACCCAGGTAACCCAGCGCTCGATTTTTCCGGGATACCCAGCTCGGGCTTGCTAAGTGGGATCCGGGATGATCGGATCCTCCAAGCTCCCAGGACAGATGGGGTTCAAACCCTGTTGAAATCCCGCAAAGTAGCTGTTGAAATCTCAACCTGGTTTTGGTGATTTCAACAGCTACTTTGCGGGATTTCAACAGCTACTTTGCGGGATTCCTACTTTGCTATTCTTGCAGTTTTGGTGATCATTTGAAGATGTTCGAAGAAGCTATTGAATAATATACTGCACGATGTGACGATGTCAGTTCTTTGTGCTGAGGAGCGGCATATGGGGCATTGTTTTTTAATTTTTCCAGGTGCATGGTTCGACCACCAACAGGAAATTTGAGCTCATGAGTTTATTGGTGAATTGCAGCAAAATAGAGGAAACGGTTTGTCCTATGATCATCACAGTTGCTGTGTATGAGTAAATAGTGTAGTTGCTATCACCCAACAGCGGCAAAGATATCAACACCAGCTATTTGGTGGCTCATCCCAGGAATCGTAAGTGGATTATAAGCCACGTAAAAGTGGATTAAGCCTACGCATCCCACTCGAAAAAACTGGGGTTACAGGATGGGCCCCCCAGTTATAAGTGGGTTTATAAACCATTATAACCCCCATGAAAACTATAGTTATATCTACCACAAAGCCACTTTTTTTAGGCAACTGAACGCTATCGACTGGGAGCCCCATCCTGTAGGCCATCCACTTTCGATTGCTGGGATGTCGCAGCCAAGGTTGGAGGCTAAGATAGACCTCAGCGGGCTGAAGACCAGCGCCTCGTAGCCCAATAGCTCGATGGTTTATTTCATGAAAAATAACATGGAAAATTGGAAAATAACATGGATGATAATTGGGGGTACCCCAAAATGGATGGTTTATGATGGTTGATAATGGGAAACCCTACCAAAATGGATGATAACTGGGGGTATCCCCAATTTTAGGAGGCCTCCAAATGGATTGCACAATTGGTCTTTTTGGATAAGCTCTCCCGTGGATAGTTGGTAGTGTTTGGGAGCTACTGGTATCCATGTTCCGAAAAAGAAACATGGGGAGCCAATGAGCCAATTAGTTTGCCAACCACTCGGCTTTTGGACACCTCCATCATGCTTCAAGGATCTGAATACTGGATGTAAGTGGTTTGCAAGCATAGCTACAAGGCGGGCCCCCAGCAATGTAATTTGGTTTAGTTTCAGCTCATGAATACTACTATAATTGCTATAATTCGTTGGATATCCCCCACAAACCCCACAGTTCACCTAGTGAAACGTGTATCAACTTAGCTACTGCATGTAGGGGGCCTCACCTTGCATACCCCGTTTATGAATGGGACAAGCGACTCAGGGGACTTCCTAACCTGGCGACAAGTGGGATGATTCTTCATGATCTTCATGTAGAGATGCAGCCCCAAAGGTTGATGGTTAGGAGATTATACATGATTATAATATATAACCTTTAGCATCCTTTTATATAATGGGGAATATCATGGAATATCATGGAATATTTCTTAGTCAACGGGAAATCCCGTTCTCAACGAACCGTAACTAGCCAGTATGTTTCGGGACCACATAGGGTTTAGCAACCACTGCTCAGATGAGTGTTGATATCTGTTGATCTTCAACCTGCAAGGTTATGGTATGGTATTGCCGCAACAACTGCAAAAAAATCACAGTTGCACCGTCCTTTTTCAAACTGAAGCTCGAAAGCTTTGAAGTCAGTTAAATTGAAAACCAGGAAATGTCATACTTTTATGACAAGCCAAGTCCTGATCTAAAACATATGTCAGTTACCATCAGAAACAATAGCATCATCGCAGTGTGCTTACTTGGTTAAGCATCCCAGTTTGAAAGTTATTTTGCCATCATTCTCAATGCAGCTTACCTGATTTCATGCCATTATATACCTTTTATTTTGATAGAGGGCCGGTATGGTCTAGTGGATAAAACGCATCCCTCCTGCGTCACACCCGGGTTCAATACCCGGGCGCAACACTAGGCGGAGAGGCGGGCTATCCCACCCCTGCAGTTAAGGGGATGAGCTAGGGTGTGGTCCGTAAAGCTTATCCCTTTTATTTTGATATATTATCATAGTGCTTATTTATTATATAACTATTTTATATATATATAATTATGACTGGGTCAAGATTCCCCAGCCACACTGGTAGCCTCCTGAAAGTGTTGACCTCGTCCACGAGGTAGCTATGATATTCCCAAATGAACTTCTGTCCACAGAAACCAAATATGTATGTAATTGTTGGCCACAACAATGATGGAAACAGACAGTCTTTCCAAGACCTAAATAGTCCTCCAATCACCAGTCCGCAATGGCGACACACGCTGCTATTTCTCCCCGTTAGCGTCCTGAAGTATGGGCCCTTGAGCCACCATGTCCAAGGCAGGTCATGAACCTTCGTTCATATCTCCTTGTACCCTAAAGACAATCGAATGGACAAAGGCTCGGATGAATCGGAATTCACACTCGTCTCTATTTTAAATTCGATTGTTAACCCAGGTGATACCGTACTTCCTGTTGGCATTTTGTTTGAGGGTTAGGTCTTCATCATAGATTCTAAATTTTCCTAGTTGCAAAACCGTTCTCATGAACGTGTTGTCCATGACCTTGGTTAGGCCATCCGCAAGCATGATAGCGGTCGAGACCCATCTGCAAGTAGTGTGGTCTTTAGATTGTTCCTTAAGTAACATGACTTCGATTGTGGTCCTCCATTCTTGGCAGTTGGGTACCGCGTTTTTCGTTATCAGGTCAAAGAGGGATTTACAATCTGTAATCATTAAACCTGCTGGTTCTTGTCTTAGGGAAATCTCTGGTTTGGACCACATGAAGCTTGGATCTTTTATGAAACCCCACATGCATCGAATCCATGTGAGCTTATCTAATGAACTCGACATGGCATAGGCTTCAGCGCTCAAGGTGGATCTTACAACTCGGCCTATCTGTTTGGAATGCCAAACGATGGGGGAAAATTCAGTAGTTTCATTATTTCCAAGTTTGTCAGTACACGCCATGATGAACAAACCCTGTTGTGCAGACAGCTGTTTGGCAGATGCAAAACTCGCATCACCAAAACTCGCAAAGCAGATACTATGCATGGGAATCGAACGAACTATTACTGCTGTCTCTGCATGTTGTTGTGCTTCTCTCAACGTTCTGTTACCCTCAAGTAAGGATTCAACAGTTGCACTTGTGATGCCCTTTTGAAGGTTAGCCACTCTTGTGGCCAAGTCCGGTCTCGAGTGAACCGCTGCGTATTGGAGACTTCCACAAAGTCCTCTCAACTGGTGCAATTCATGACTTGTGACGGGACTGCTAGTTTCGACCCTTCTAGGTTTTGGAACATCTATGGGTGCTATCTGATGAATATATTTTCCTTGATTAACTTTGATTGAAAAGTCCGGCAGTTGTTCAATTTCAAGGCCAGTAAACTTGAACTTTCCATATTCTCTGGAACCGAAAGGCAAGTTGACTTGTAGTTTTTCAAGTGCAGCTTCAAAGTTTTTGTTACCACCTCCAATTCCGTCATCCACATGAGTTCCCAGTATTCCATCTAAGATCTTTGGGTTTTGAGGATTGCGGAGCAGGAAAAGACAATTATCTAATGGGTGCACGCTGAAACCAACATCTTCAAGTCTTTTGCGAAACTCTTTATAGAATAGGAGTGGAGCATCAACCCTTCCGTAGGCGTTCCCCTTGAGGAGACAAACCTGTTGTGGGGTCATACCTAGAAGTTCTCTCAATTCTATGGGAGCTTCCATGGCTAGTTCACGCTCATCCGAGCGTCCACGCAAGAAGGCAGTGGTAATGTCAAAGCTCTGCACAATCCACTGTTGGCTGGCTACTGTTTGTAACAGGAGCATCCGTGAATCTCTTGTGAGTGTGGGGCTATCAGAACAAACCGAGTCAATGTCTGGATCTTGGAAACCTTTTACTACCAGTCGGGCTTTGGCTTTTCTACCCGTGTCTGATGATGGGTCTTCTTTCCAAGTCAGTATCCATCGAGATGACATGATTCGGCTTGGATGGATCCTGTCACGCAAGATAGCCTGAACAGTCTTGGTGTCTAGCCAGCATTTGAGTTCCTTCTGTTTGGCAGCTTGAAATAGCCCTTTTTCCTTTAAAGTCAAATCCCCATATTTTACTTCATTGCGCGATCTCTTTGCGGCAGCTGTCAGACATGGAAGATACTCTTTGGGCATCTTCAGGAACCGGGAAAGCTGTTGCTTCGGCATCTCAAAGTCAAAAGAGACGCATGCATGTTCCAGAGTGTCTTGGGTTTCCCATGCTGTTGACTGGTCTTCTAAAATTATATCTGGATTACCAACATTTTCACGAATGGAAACATTGTAGACAGGTTCCATGCCGGCTGGCAGGGAATCTGTGTCAGATTCCATCGTCACTGTTGAGTTGAGATCTCGGTCAGCTTCGGCACTCTGGTCCACGTTGTCATCAGCTTCTACCGGTGTTGAGGAGATTGGCGATTCTGGTACTGGAGTCTCTATAGCATGAGACAGTCTCTGAGCATCAAGTTGTGTGTCAAGGGAAATTCTCCTGTTGGGTTCTTCTTCCGGTTGTACTGAAGCGTTACTTGAAAGGTTAGGGTCAGGGTTATCTTCAGGATTATCTTCAGCATTATTTCTGGGGTCGGGACTATCACTACTCATATCAAGGTATTGAAATAGGCCGCTTCTTTCCCGAAGGCTTCTCTGAAGTTGTTGTGACATCTGTTGAAGTTGATTGGGATCGGAGGTTTGCACAAACGTCGAGTGTTGTTGAAATTCACGCATGGAGACAGGTCGGAGATTTTCTTTGGCGCATCTAAGTAGTCTGTTGAGGTGAGTGACCCAAACAATGGTCCGCGACTCTTGGCA